AATTTTTAAACTGTTTTCAATTTTTTTATTTAAATCAGCCATAACTTTTCAAAACTGAACAAATCAATAATTTTTTTTTATAGTTGCATGATGTTTTTACCTATCATTTGATTTATACTGGCACTTTTATATATACCTTAAATAAAAGCTTATGTAATATAATTTAGTATGGGAAAAAAAATTTCGGACTTTATTTTGTATTAAACATTTTAAACTCTATAATGCTATAACTTACTGAAAAATGTATGGATCAACACAATTTTTTTTATGAAAAACCATATTTATATCCCTATTCATTCGACATACTTTATTTTGATCAGGATATAAATAAGGAAATAGAAGATGGTGTAGCTTTTGGAATAATCCAACAATTTTTTAATATCAAACATTACCTAATGATTTGCATCGAAGCGTTTTTTATGATAGTAATTTAAATCACTGACAGATATCATTATACTTAACCCAACTATGCCACATCCCTACTGCGCTGGATTTTTTTTATATATATAAAATATCTTAGGTACGATCGACTAGCATCAAACTTGGGGTGCATTATTGTAGTGTCACAATTTAATAAACGCAATAAATAATACATTTTCATAATAAGAATACATCATAAAATCAGTGTTTTCATGGATAAGATGAATAAAAAAATAATGGCCTTACACAAAAATAAATATTCCTTTAACGCACTCCATGAAATGCCTACAAACTGCAATGTTGATACAAACATTTCAACATTTAAAGTATATTAGTATTTAATTTATTTATTTTACTATACACCTTAACACACTTAAAAATAATGCATGATTAGATTGCATTATGTTCTATGACTTTCTGAATTAACAGTGTACTAGCATAATAACATCACAATCAAAATTTTAATGAACTATAAAAGCTATTTATGTAGATGTAATTATTAAATTTTTATAATATTGAATACAGATGTTTTCTGAATGTTCTTTGATATTCTTTAAAATATGTTATACCCAAAAACAAGGCCAAAAAATACAAGAGTTGTGCTCCTTTATGTTTTATCAGCGTCTAAGTTTCATAGTAATAGTAACTTATTAGTCTAAGTATGTTATTATCATCGGGTTGTTCAAGAACGTCACCTAAGTCCATAATACTAGCATCGGCAGTAAGATATGTCTCTTTGTCATCAGAAATGTGAGCAATTACAGGTTTGGATGTTAAGATGGTTTTTAATTTTTGAAATGCTAGATCATGTTCAGAATTAAATTAAAACTTTTTGGATGTATCATGTTTTGTTTAAGTAAATAATGAAAATGAAATTTTTGAGAAATCTTTTACTAATTTTCCATTATAACTACTCATTCCAAGAAAGCTTCAAACTTGTTTTGGTGTTTTTTCGTTAGTGGTTCATTGAATTAAAAGTATATATAATTGAATAATAATTATAGTAATTAAATATAGTATTAAATTTATATTCAATAATTTAATATTGTAATTTTTATAGAGAAATTATAAAAAATTATGTAGTAGATATTACTTCTATGGCAAACATGTATATAAATTGAAATGCTTGATGCAATACTTTTCAAAAAAAAAAAAAAATTGTTTGTTACTTATAAATAAATTTATTGTTCTACGAGGAAATTCCATCAGAGACCAAAATAGAATTATTTTTAAATATAATTTTGCGAATATTTCAAATATGCAATGAATATTTCGCATATTGACTTAATAATAATAAAATCATTCTAATTAATACAACAAATATTTACGTTTAAAATGCTACGTATGAATAATTAATAAATATATTATAATTAAAAAAAAATTATTGGAGAATGTATTATGTACAGTATATCAATATGAATAATTATTCAAACACTGAGAAATCCATAGAAAGACTTCAATTTTAATGATTTATTACAATAAAATGTTTTTATCAAAATTTTCAATCTAAAAAATAGTATAATTTATTCCACATAAAATTTCTATTTAATGATATAAATTCTAAACTTGCAATTTGAATTCAAATTGTGTTTTTAAATTGTAAATTTTTATAAAAATCAACTTTAAAGGATCAAAAAGTGAATAATGACATTTTACCTGAAATTTTGCACGGATTATTTTTAATATAATAAAAATTAATAAAAACTAGATAAAACATTTTTTTTAAATTCATTTTTTATGTGTTTCTAATTAATAATAATCTCAAAAAAATAAAGTAGCATAGTGGGGTCACAGCACAGCGTATGGGTGGCATAGTTGGAACAAGTATATATGCTATCTGACAATGATTAAAATCACTATCATAAGAAACTATTCAATAAAAATCTGTAATAGCTAAAGTAAAACATAAAAAAAAAAAGCAATTGAAATTCCGAGTCTTATATAGATAGAGGGGATATTTAAATTAAATTATATTGGAAATTTTGTTTTTAGCTTCGACGCAAAGCTGAGAAACTATTAATTTTGCTATGATGTGTTTATTTATTTTATTTTTTTATCTGTTACTACTTTTTCTCAGTCTATACTGTATAAATTTTTCTCAATGATACGTCAAAAGATCACAAATCATATCTAGTTGAAGACATTGAAAAATTGAAAAATTTTCTCTCGTACTCTACCAATGAGGAAATTACTACTAAATTACTAATGAAAAAATTAAGATTTTTAAAATTAGTAAATATAGACATTTTTAAACTTTTTTTTTTTAAATTTGTTTTGTAAGAGGCAGCTATACCGTAAGACGGCTAGTTGTGCACCGCACTAAAATGCCGTCTTACCTGAAGCCTGTTTAAATCTCTATCTTTGAAGCTGAAAAGGGGTCACCTGGGAGGATGACGGCTAACCGCACATCCTATAAGTTATGAGAGTAGACAATAACCACATATATTATAAGTTTTTCAAAGAGTATCTCAAATTTAAGTGGTAACGTGGTGCCCTTAAATACTAGGTCTGTATAATATACCAGTAAATTAGTAATTCTAAATTTCGCTATACGAAAACTATGCTGATTATCGTTTAATATTAGATTAAAAACAATATATAGTTTGCGTTTTAATAATTTAGAAATAGGTCGGAAATAATAACACATTTTGTCTTTGGCCAAATTTAAAGACAGGGTATTTATAATTATATTTCTATAAATTATGAAAAGTATCAAAGAAAAGAGATAGTGTATAATTAAGGCATATTTGAATTTATTAAGCACAATTTCAGGAATTTTATCTGGAATAACACTAGTACTTAGACTTAATTGAGCGATACCCTCCAATGCTTTGAAAATAGCAAGTTGACAAGAGAATATTAATAATGTCCAATTCAAAAATTCTGGACTGAGCCACTGTATTAGATGAATACTAGAGGAAAAATATTTACTAAATATCTCCGTTATAATATTTAAGTCAGCTGGATGGGCATTTTCATATTCTAAATTTACAGAAAGTAAATTTATATTTTTGTAGTTTTTCACATATTTTCAGAATTGTTTCGGATTAAAAATAATTTATTTTGTATACTTAATAATTGATCGAAGAAGCATATATTGGATAATCGTGTGCATTGCGCTCTATAGTAAAAAAGTTCATAGTACCTAACATTTCTGTTACAAGTATACTTCTCCACAGCTCACTGTGCTAGGGGTGGATAGTTGTATCTTAACTAATTAAAGCTGTAACTGATGTTCGTCGAGTTGATGACAATAGATGTACACCACAAAATCATGACAAAAATGTGACAGACTTTTTAACTAAGATATACCTGATATGAAATTATGAGAGTACGTTACCTGTTCATTATAAATTAGGGTCAGATGATTTTTTAAGGGAAAGAAATGCAAAAATACAAGAATTCATTGATAATGGAAGACGCAAGAAAAATACTTTGTAGTGTTAGGGGCTCTTGAGGATCTTGTTCAAAACAAAAAATCGGAAGCTACCCGACGTCTGTCCAAATATCGTCCCTATCTCCTTAATTGAGTTTTAATTACCTAAAGCAAACACAGGCAATCGTGCACAACTGCCCTTTGTTAGTTCGCCGTCAGTAGCTCCGGGCTACAAACGAGTGGAATTTTCAAACCAGTATCTCCCTCTATGATAATTGATGTGTATTACGAATTAAGTAAATGGAAATAAAACGTGTATAATATAAGTGGTGAGAACATAGCAATAAATTTTCTTACAGTAATTATGTCAAATTAATAGGTTTTTATTAAAAAACATTTTAAAACGAAAAAAAACAATTTAAAAAAATAATTTCTCTACAAATAAAGGGACCAAAGTGAAAAGAGAGAGCAAAAACTTAATTAAAAGAATTATCATGTCTAAAACTTTAATTAAAGAATATGATTAACATCTTTAGGTATCTGCCTGCTATCAAGCATAGCATTACCAATAAAGTATGTCGATTATATGCTCCAAATTCAGCTCAACCAAAGTATAGTATTCACACAATATACAAATATACGAAAAAAACAGAGTCAACTTTATCTGGTCTTAAAATTATTTTATAATAAATTATATAACATAATAACAATATTTTTAATAAGTATCGAATAAAAAATCAATTTTTAAAAAGCAAATTATTGAAACCTAAATACTCATAATCATTTTTCACGACCTTTATAACAAATGATTCCAAGTAATTACACATAGTTTGATAAGTAGTACTATATTCTGTTAAGGTATTGTTTTTAATTAAACATTCAAATGTTGTTAAATCTATGTCTGAATCACATTTATTAATGTTACAATATTTCAAGTTGAACTTGATAACATGCTTTAATTTTATCTGTAATTCTAAAGATTGAATGTGAGATACCTCTTCAAGAAACATTAAAGCTTCATAAAGACTATCTTTAGTAAATAACAACAATGAAAAATACTTTTTCCTAACATCATTCAAATAATTAATAAAAAATTCTATCATTTTCTCTAATAATAATTCTCGATGTCGACATTTTTTATCTTTTGTGTAATGTTTCAAAGTAATGAGCGCAACTAACATATTTTTAAACATGCCATCGGATGTCANAACATATTTTTAAACATGTCATCGGATGTCATAAGTGTTTCATAAAGCTTAACTGCACAATTCATTTTATTTTCATATTTACAAACATTAACTATATGTCCCAACATTATATTAAAATTATGAAATATTTCAATATAGCGACATCTTAAAATAAGTGAAAGATATGTCCGCACAAAATAATAATTTTCCTTATCAACTGTAGATATAATGTCTTTGAAATAAAGTGATTTTCCATTTGTAAATTCAGTTTTAACAGATATATGTTTCCATGACATCCAACCAGTCTGAGAAATAAAATGATTACACAATACAATTCCTTCATTATAGCCGTATATCCTTCTTTTGGAATGAATATACCTGTATGGAACAAAAAAATAAATAAATGGATGCTACAAATTAATATCATGATTTAAATAACGAATAAAATTCTTAAATTTAATCAATTAAACGTAATAAACTATGAATCTTACACGAACGTATTTGTACTTTCTAGATGCTCAAATCCCAATTTTGAATAACAATTTTCAATTATTCCGGTAGAATATAATTCAAGATCTTTAAAAATATCATTGATAAATTCGTTGGAGTCCTCTACCATTTTTTCCATTTGATCGATATTGTATTTCATCAATAATTTGTCTAAAATGGAACTTTCGTGTTCTGTCCCACACACTTTTCTATTTTTGTAGAGATTTGATATCATTAATTCCGCTTTTTTATTAAAATGTTTTATGTTTTCAAAAGTATTGACCCAATTAAAAGTACTAGGTAGTTCAAATAATGAAATATTACTTAACTCAATTGCATATGTGTGAAAATGATTTATTTCATCATCTACAGTTTTAATAGTAACCATAGTCGAGTCTATAATTCGTAGATCGATTTTGTCGAGATATTTTAATACTTTCAACATTTCTTTAAACATATTTATTGAAAAATTAAAAATGTAAATAATTAGCCTTGTGCAATATTCCAATTGATCATATTGTTTATTTATTAAATATTTAACTTCACACTTATTTAAAACAAGGCCTAACATTACATTGAAAGTTTGCATTGTATTGGTAAATTGACAATTTAATAGGTAAGTTATATAGTAGAGTTTTTGTATAAAGTTACTTTCATCGATAATTTGACTTGTTACGGTTTCGGTATTAATTGTTAAGTGCTCAAGTTTAATTTCTGGTTGATGAATTGAGGCCCATCCATTTTGAACACGAATGTGGTTTAATGAGTTAATAACGTATTTTTTAAAATCTTCACATTGAGTATCATAATAAACACCTAAAACTTGACTTAATTGCCAAAATAAGAAAAACTCATAAAAAATATATTTCTTCGACATGTTTTTTTATTTTATAAAATGAAATTTATTATATGATATACTTTTATGTAAAATAATTTTAAACTCTTTTCTAATACTGGTTGTATTTTATTGAAATAGAAAAAAAACGACTTGTATCTATTTTATAACAACTATTCAGCGCCTTATAATATGTTAAGTTTGATATTTCTGTGTAAAATTGATTTAATAATAGTAAAATTATTTTAGTTATTTTAATGACGTAGGTATGTACATAATTTGAAGTTCATATTGTATCAAAAATTCATTGTTACCCAAATGGTTTAAAAATCCTAATAACTGTATTCATTAAAAAAAAAAATAAAGTAGTCAGTTTTATTTTAATAAATTATGTTATTTGATTATTTTCCTTCATATTTTTCGAAGGTTTAAAGATATTCAGTAAAATAAAAATTTGAAAAATGGTCGAACATAAAAAGTATAAGAATCAATAGTCATATAATTTATGACACAAGGTTGTCACGGTTCTCAATACACGGAGCCCCGCGACTGGTGACACCTCTATCAGCCGTTGCCCTTATATGTGTATACAGGGTGTTCAGTAAATCAGGAAACGGGTTTCTATTGTTCTCATTGTTACAAACAATGAGAACAATAGAAACCCGTTTCCTGACTTAGTGAACACCCTGTATGGTAGTTTTTACTGACTAACACCGCTTGCGATACACTACAGTACAAAGTCCAGCAAGTGCCATAGGTCCAACTATGACCCGCCGCAAATATACGTTAAGTAATTTCCGTGACACCGCCCGATTCACAGCTCGTTCCTGTGTGCGACATCGTTGATCTTTCTATATAGTGTTACATATTTGTTTTTTTGGCTTGTATAACTATTGGATTCACATCCGCTCTCTTAGTGATTAAGTACGCATCTTTTTTGTGCTAATCTTTTCACCAATAAACGGCTCGACGCCACCTTGTGTTTACATACAACGCTGTTGTTTAATTGTATCGTGTTTATGACGTTTAGTCCTGTCAAGGTTATAGAAAAATGACTCTCCACTTATATTCGGGTTATTGGCAATGCTAATTAAATCAAAACGCTTGTTTGTTTACGGTATTTAGAACGAGAAAAGGCTTGTTTTAATTTCATATATTACTATTTGGACTCAAATATTCGCCTGTGATATTCACTGATGGATTTACGCCTAGGCTTATGAGGCCCGGGCCTGTGGCGGAATAATTTGAAGGGTAACAAAATGTTCTAAATGCTAAAATTTTAGAGTCGAAAATGTTAAGACAATTAATTTCAAACATTGGTTCAGGTTAGTTTTTATAAAAAATTTTCTGTGGATGACATTATAATTTGATTCATTTATTTACTTCTTAATCTGTGAGTAAGATGGTATTTTTTTAATAGATCAATTATAGTCTTTATTGAGTAATGTTATTTCCTTTCTATTCCATTAGTGAGATTAATAATTTATACCGTGAATTACATCTCTTTTTGTATTAAGAGTGAAATAAAATTTCGTAAATATATATATTTAATAAAAGTTTTAAAAATGTCTATATTTACTAATTTTAATAATTGCTTTATAAAATTTCGAATTTTCGGAAAGATAAATATATGCGTTTTATACGCAAAAATGTAGATAGCGTTTTTATTAATATGTACCAACAACAACACGTAGTCGCGTGGATTGTATTAAATTAAACATAAAATTATTATTACTTTAAGAATAAGATGTATAGTAAAGAATAATTAATATAACATATACAGGGTGGCCCTCAAAAATCGAATGTCTTTTTTTTTTTACGCTACCCCTTAATTTTTTTTTAATGGTAAAAAAAATGAGCTGTGCAAAATTTGGGACCGATCCGTTAAGGTTAACCCGTGCCCCCGGGCCTATTAAGTTGAGTCGAAGAGTCAAATTTAATAGAAATAACTGATCTATGTCTCATAACTTTTTTTTCTCTTAACTTAGAATAATAAAAGTAAAACTCAAGTAAAGGAAATTTTACAAGAAATTCAAAAATAATAACTTCAATGTTGTTTTCTCAATAAATAGCCCACAAAAACACTACATACAGTAAAAAACATGTAAAAGTCTTAAAATACGTTATAACTGATTTTGTTGATTTTTAATTATTTATTTTCATTTTATTTTTTGGAAAACGCATATTCGTTTAAAAAAAGATTCTAGTAGTTTAATTTATTAAATTTTGATTTTTTATACAATTTTCCTATGGTATCAAATGTTAGTCCATATTATGTAAAGCACAGTAAGTAAACATTTATTACATTATTTACTGGTAACAGTACACGATTTCTTTTCCATGCTATAGTTTACCGTTTATAACCAGATAAGATATTCATTCATATAGACAGAGATGTTTACATAGTGTAAAATTATTTGTTGTTATTTGTAGTCGGGTGGAGAGAAACGCTGAATAGATTTTTTAATTCTAACAGGTCGGCGAGATTTATTGAAGAGCGGTACGGTTGATTCTGTGTGGTCATTGTTGTCTATGTCAGTATTTTCACCTACGGGGGATAACGAGGCGCTTGTTTTGTTTAATGGCCAAATTTGGTCGTCGTGTCTTATCCCGTGGGACTTTGATCTAATGTAACTTTGTGTATTTTGTCACTTATGTTTTCAGTAACAGTAGTTTTTTGCCAGTTTACTCCTATATTTCTATAATCTTTTAATAATACACAATCACCCTCTTTTACATTTATGTTTCTATTCCCCCCCATATTTTATTTTAGAAATTTGACTATCTACTACTACCTCATTAGTGCTGCGTATTAGTAAATCAAATATTGTTCTAGTAGAATACTCTAACATTAACTTAGCTGGCGTCTCGTGTGTTGTTATATGCGATGTGTTTCTATACATCAGCAAAAATTTGTTTAACTGGTTTATAGAGGACGAGCATTTTTTAAGAATTGTTTGACGATTTTGACACCTGATTCAGCGCAACTATTTGACGCAGGAGCGAATGGTGCTCTCATTAAATGTCTAATACCTAATTTTTTACAGTACTTTTCGAATTCAATGCTACTAAACACATTTCGCACCATTCATTGTTATTGTACGCGGAATTCCAAAACGAGCGATCAACTCTGAAAATTTAGTAATAACAGTTTGCGCAGTCATGGAATTAACCGGAAATGCCTCTAATCATTTTGAAGATGTGTCAACGAAATTCAAAAAATTTTTATTTCTATGCGGCCCTAAATAATCAAAATGCACCCTAGTCCACGGCCTTTGAGGCCATCTTCATGGAGTAATTGTTGATTTCGGTAGATGTGACCTAACGTTTGTACATTCATAACAATCACGAACCATATTTTAAATGTTTTTGTCAATTGTTTGCCACAAAAAATATGATCGTGTTAAGCCTTTTATACTGATAATACCTATGTGACACGAGTGTAGTTTAGCTAGGATATTTTTTTGAAATTTTTGCGGAATTATAACACGATAGCCCCACAATAAACACCCTTGTTCCAAAGATATTTCATTTTTGCAAGTGACATACAGTTTTAACTCGTTGTTAAGTGTAAAATCGTCACTCCATTCACCTGTTTTTGTCGCATGTAGGACCCTTGACGTATTTGATCTCTATTTATTTCAATTTTAATCTTGAACCAGTCTAATGGAATGGTGATTTTTCATGAATAAAATTTAAATGAATGTTGTTGTCATCGTCCACGTTATTGCTATTAGGATAGTCGATTTTAATTCTGGAAAGAAAATCAGCTATTATTTTTCTCGAATTAATGTACTTAATGTCAAAGTCGAATGATGATAAAACATATGCCCATCGTTCTAAACGATTTGCTGCGTAAATTGGAATACCCTTTTCATCTTCGAATATGCGAATCAATGGTTTATGATCTCTAATTAAAGTAAATTTTTTTGCATAGAGAAAATCATAGAATTTTTGAATACCGAATATTATAGCTAGTCTTTCTTTTTCTATTTGTGGAAACTTACACTCGGCATCAGATAGTATTCGTGAAGCGAAAGCTACTGATTTTTCGGAATTATTAGGGTACACATGTGATAAAACTACACCTAGTGCATACGAATAAGAGTCAACTAAGTGGTTTAAGTGGTAATTTTTGTTCAAAAAGTGCTAATGTGGGCCTTGAAATAAGGATTTGCTTAACTTTTTTATAATATGCATTGTCACAATTTGATGACATTTTATTTCATTGCGTAAAAGCGTGTATAATGGTTTTAATATTTCAGCTGCGTTTGGAATAAATTTTATGTAATACGTAACTATGCCTAAAAACGATTTTCATGTCGATTTGTTTTCCGGAACGGCCGCGTTAGTACACTAACTAAATATATACAAGTTTTAATATAAATCTGTGGTTGTTTTTCACCAGCTGATTTTTAAGGAAATCAAATAAAAAATTTTAATGATTTCCTTTACAAATTGACATTGATGTGCAAAAAACGTATCTTTCCATTAAAATTTAATCTTTTTTTTTTAAACAGGAATGATAACTTCATTCTTTACAAATGATGAAATATTAATATAAACCACTGATATAATTTCACAAAGTTGATGATTTCATTAAAGAATTAATTGATCTTTTGAATTTTATTTAATTCAGTAGTATCTAGTGAAAATTTAAAAACTGATAAAGTACAAATACCAAATACAGTCGAACTTGGTTATCTCGAACTTCTTTAACTCGAAATCGTCGATACCTCGAACTTTTACTCCGGTCCTTAGAATTTCCTATTTAAACAATGTAAAAAAATCTTGTTTAACTCGAATATTTTCGTGGATAACTCGAAGTTTTGAGTTTTATTAATACATATGTTTTTGTATAAAATTTCCCTCATTTATCTATAAAGGTCATTACTCATTAGTCATTAATGTTATCGTTACCGATAAGTTGTTTATCTACGGTTTACGACGACGCATGACTTTCGTGTTCAGTGCTCTGTGTTTGTCTCAACGTGATCGTTCGTAATGTCATCATCAAAACGCATGCTAAAAATGCTAACATACGAGGAAAAAGCGGCAGTGATACGGGAAGTTGAAAATGGATTTAAAACAAAGTCTTTGATAGCTAAAGAATTTGGTATTCCACCTAATACTTTGTCAACTTATCTTAAAAATAAAGAAACAATTTTAAATAAGTTGGCTACGTCCAGTGTAAAGGGCAGAAAAAGGGCTAGAGAACCGGAAAATCCTGATGTAGATGAGTGCGTTTACAAATGGTTTAAACAGACACGTGACAAAAAAATACCCCTTAGTGGGCTGTTGATAAGAGCAAAAGCTGAAGAATTCGCATTAAAATTAGGAAAAATTAATTTTAAGGCGAGCAATGGATGGCTCGATGGTTTCAAAGAAAGAAATGGCATTTGTTAGCTTCGATGCGAAGCTGAGAAGGTATTGGTTTTACTATGATGTGTTTTTTTTTTTTTTTTTTTTTTTTTTTTTTTTTTTTTTT